CTAAGGATGCTATAACAAAATACCCAAAACTGGATGGCTTAAACAATACTTTCTTTCTGCTCTGGAGAATAGAAGTCCGTGGTCGAGATTCTGGCATGGCTGGTTCCTACTGATAGTGCTGAGGGAGAATTTGCTTCATGTCTCTCTGCTAGTTTATGGTTTTCCTTGACCTCTTCTTTATTGCTCTGATCTCTGCCTTCATTTACATATGTGTTTCCTGACTACATGTCTGTGTCCAAATTTCCCCTATGTATAAAGGCACATTAAATTAGGGACCCACTGAATCCAGTGTGATTTCTGTTTCACTTATTACTCTGAAATGATCACATTTCCCAATAAGATTACATTTTGAGGCATTGAAGGTTAGGATATCAACATATAAATTTTTGTATTTTTTTTTTCAGTACCAGAGATCAAATTCAGGACCTTGCATTTGTGAGGCAGGCACAGTGCCACTGAGCTAAATTCCCGGCCCTCAACATATAAATTTTAGAGGGAACAGTTCAATCTGTAAAAATACATTTGTGTTGTTTTCAATTAGCAATAATCGCGCCTCGGATAAACCTCATTGGCTACGACAGTGCCACGGCACAAAGCTTGCATTTGTTTTAAACTACCGTGTTTGTGGTAACTTGTTACATGTAAAGTAGGAAAAAATGAAATGGCAAAAAGAAAATGAAGAAATATCAAAAATTTACTGCTGTGGATCCCCTTTGTCTGCAATACAGTTCACTGGTCTAATCCAAGTGAAGTATCACCTAGAGTTACAAGATGTTAATATACTTGGTTCCTTTTTAAGAACAAGGAATATTTTATTACATTGTACTTAGGCAATATAAAACCACAACATCGAATACACTTATTTTGAAGGCCTCCCTAAAATCAATTAGCAGTTTTTTGGATTTTCTTGAAATTTTTGTGCTTTTTCTTCTTGCAAGCAAAGAAGAGGTGCTGGATTAGTTCCTAGTTTAAGTGTTCCTCAAAGGCCCTCATGGCAAAATCTTGGTCACTAGCACGGTGCTATTGGGAGGTGGCAGAAACTTTCGTAAGTGTCCCAGTGAGAGGTCTCCAGGCCATTTGGGGGTGTATCTTTCAAGGGCATTATGGGGTCCCTATCTCTTTTTCCTTTAATTTTCTGGTCATGGGGTGAGTAGATTTGTTTCGTCTTGTACTCCTGCCGTGATTGACTACCTTGACACAGGCCAAAGTCATGGGACCATTTAATCTGGGACTAAAACCTCCAAAACTGGAACCCCAAATAAATTTCTCTTTATACGTTGATTGTTTCAGGTATTTGTTATAGTGACAGAAATCTGAGTAACAGAAAATTGGTACCAAGAAGTAGGATCATTGCTGTGACTGTACCTGATGATGTGGAAAAGGCTTTGGAACTGGTTTACCAGAGGAGCTTGATAAAGTTTGGAAGAGCAAGCAGAAAGAGTTTAGCATGCTCTAAATTTAACAGGCAATTCTGGTGAGGGACCAGAAGACCAGAATGCTGACGGAAATGCAGACAATAAATGCTGATAGGAATGCAGACAGTAAAGGCCGTGCTGATGATGCTTTAGATAGAGTTGAAGATTCTTTTAAAAATTAAATTAGAAGCCACCCTTGTTCCATCAAGGCAGAGTTTGGGCACACTTATCCATGCCCTGAGACTTCATGTGAAGCTGAGTTTAAAGGTCATGGGCTTGTTTAACTGGTAGAGGAAATCTTGAGGCAATGCATCATTGAGGGAGTGGTATGAATATAACCAGCTGCATCTAGCCAGATTTACAGTGAAACTTAGAAGCAAAAACAAGTGCAGAAGACAGATTTGCAAAGTATTTATGAGTGTATTCCATATTTTCATATACAGGACACACACACTTATGAATATACACACATATTACTATTTTTCTTGGAAATCAGTCATATGGCTTTATCTTCATCCACATCTCCTGTATGTATCTTGAAACACTCTATCTGCTTTATTTCATGCCCCAAGTCACGGGTAGACCAGAAATTTGACAGTGCTTTTCAGCCAATCTAAATTTAAGTCATATCCTTTTACCTTTGATATAAATAATACCACCATTACTTTTCAAGTAGAACAAGAGAGAAATGTAGGAGTTTATCTTGTTACTTCCATTTTTTCCATTTTGAGCTGTAGTGTACTGCTAGGAGGTTGCAATTTTGAGCTCAAATGTGTGGATTCAAATCTGGACTCTTCTGTTGAAAATAAATAGGACTTTGGACAAGGCATGAAATCTCTCTGGGCTTTTGTTTCCTCAAGCAGAGTTAAGAATGGCAATCATAAGTTATTGTACACTTTCAGGGTAGATAACTCATACGAAGCCTAAGAACTGATCTTGAGTACATGTAAATGCATAAACATACAGAGAGAAGTACGTTTCATTCATATATATATATATATATATATATATATATATATAATGCATGTATAGGTATAAAACCAAAACATGTACCATATTAACATGCTATTTAAGTTCAAGTGTTGTTCACTTAGGAGCCAAACATTAGCAATCAAAGATGTTCTGCTTTTTTGGAAGTAACTAGGAATAAATACCAAGGAGAATTTTAAAAAGATATCTGAAACAGAACATCTTAACTGTCATGTTAAAAGAAAGATACGTTGTCATTGTGGTGCCCTGTGTTGTTTCTGTGAACATGTAGCTCTCTATTAGCCTGTGACATTGTATATACCACTTTCTGCTCTTGAATTTAATGGATATGACCTTGTACATTCTTTTGGTGCTTAGAAATGAATATATTCTAAACTTCCATTTTTCCAAAAAGTAAATGAGAGACAATAGATGACGAGAGATTATCTGCAGTTCCTTTTCTGTTTTTTCCTTTTTATATGGATATTGGAAGGGAACATATTTGGTTTACCAGGAAACGTTCTGTTTGCTGTGGTGAGCACTGTAAATTCTTCAAAATATTCATTTTCCCAGTGATTTCTTAACTAATACCTTAACAAGTTCTCCGTACATATTTAACAAAGCAATGTACTGTTGCAAAGTAAAAAGTCTCATCACATGATTGACATTTACATTTATTAGTAATATTATATAAATATTTCTATTTATTCTTCTTTTCTCACTCAGATCTGCAAATAAGGATAGGTTGTGATTGTTGATAGAATATTCAGTTGAGGTAATAGTGTAACAGCAGGAAAATAGGAACCTTTGAAATCTCTTAATATAATGTACAATTACATCTAGAATGTCTCTACTACACTGGTACAAAAGTAGCAAGAGAAACATATCCTGTGGCATGCCTATGCTACAATTTCACTGCTAAGCCACACAGGGAAGGTACATGTTTGCTGCCACCATCCCAACTCTGTTACTGAATAATTATTCATTAGAATTTTGTATATTTCACATTGAATTTTTTTCTTTTTCTGGTTTGGGGATCAAACTCAGGACCTTGCACCTGTGAGGTGCGGTGCCACTGAGCTAAATCCCCAGCCCTCACTTTGCTTTTTGATTTCCAGAATCTCTCAGCAAGACTTGCTTCATTAAAGTGTTTTAGATTTGAAATGGTCTAGTCTTTCTGTTAAACTTGTATTTCCAGAATCTCTTATTCCATAGTTGCAATAGACAATGATGGGATAAACTTTGGTGCTTTGGTTTTTCTTCAGTGAACTGTTTTTGAATTCTACAAAAACATTTATTTTATTGAAAATAGAAACAAAGCAAAAGATAGAAGTAGAACTCAAAAAAGAAAACAAGCGAGGAGCTTTACTGATATTCTAGTTATACCAGCTATTATTTTGGGATATTTTAGTTTGAGCCTAAATTGTATAATGCACAGAATATTGTTTTTATCTAATTTTGTAGCATTTGAAATTATTATTATTTAAAATACCATCCTAAATTTCACATTCATGTTTGCTTAATAGTGTACCATAAGGCATATTTCTCTTGAATTTAATTTACATATGATAATGCAAAGATTTGAAGTTCTTTACATCTTCATTAGAAATAATTTGCTGGCGACTTAACACAAACAGCTGCACTCTTGCCCTACTGTCCAATTTGTGCTGTCCAATATAACATCTTCCATTTGACTGCATAGATTGCAGATCCTTTGGAATTGTTATCATATTCTGCTTTGGGGGTGGTTTTCCACTAATAGTGAGGTGTTAGCATATGTTGTGATACATAGCAATTGCATTCATCTTGCCCAATTGGTACATGTACGTATTGCATCTTGATCCATTTTACTCCCCCTTCCTGGTTTCCCCTCTCTGTGAAGAGAAAAGATGTGGAGAAGGAGGATAAATTTTTTTATATGTTGCAGTTTTACCATCTAGAGAGTTAGAGTCTTATATCATTATTTTTCAAAACACCTTAGTTAAAAAACAAACAAAACCAAAATGCCTTAGTTTTAGAGAACATTTGTTTTTTAAAAGTTTCATATTTGCAAAAATTTTTCATATCATGCTCATGATTTCTACTATAATAAAAACACATGACATGCAATTTATCTCTTAACCATTTGAAGTGTGTGGTACAATAGCATAAAGCACATGAACACTGTTGTACACTAGACAGCATTTAAAATACAAATCCCTGGTATTAAGTGTGAATGGGGCAATTTGAGGAGACCCCAAATGTCCAGCATTCCACCTAAAGTGCTTCTGCTTCTTTCCTCATTGTGTCAAGTAAATAAAATGGACCATGTGATTCATGCCCTTGCTAACATTCAGCATCACTCACTCTATGGGTCTTTACAGTTTGTGAAGATGGTCTTGTATCCCACCTACTGTTGTGAAAACAGATTCAGACAAATGCAAAACCAACTGTCTGTGACTGTGGGCACTCAGTGATACTGACCCGACCAAAGGATTCCTTCGCTGTGGCTCTTGCTTTGTCTCTCTGCTGTTTCATTTATGTATGAACACTTCTCTGCCCATTGAAAAATAGCATAGACAGGAAGGTGATAAGTCTTCTCACATGATACTATTGTGGATATTTTTTTCCCTACAGACTGCAGGAGTAGAGGACAGCCCCAAACATCCACACCAGAATCTCAAAAGAGAAGTTCTGCTCCATACAGCTCTCCTGGCAAGAAAGATATGGACTTAAATGATTCCATTAGTGGGTATGTATGGAAATATTTATTTAGGCTATTTAATATAGATTTATTTAAAATATTTAATTTGAGCTTTTAAAAATAGATCCCCATTGCTTTATTTATACATAAGATAAACTACATTCAAGGGAGCAAGCACAAGTCCATTGTACATTTGGGTTCCATTTTATTCTGACACAGCATATCCAGGCCATAATTGGCAATGAGTTTTGCTCACTAGAGTAAAAACTGCACAACATAGACATTTTTGACCACTTCCATGACATTATGGGTATGCGTATTTTTCAAATTAATACAGAAAATCTGAAATAGCATATTGTTTGCAGGAAAGGTGATGCTATTTATGAAGTTAATTTGATCGATTTTAATTTATGAACACTGTATTGGAAGCAAGACATAATTTAGGGCCCATATACAGTATTTTTACTCTTAGAAAGCTGAAAAATGTCAGTCTGACCCCTTGGAAATCTCATAGGACTTCTATGAAAGTTCATGTCATATCTAGTGACTTCTAGAAAGCTTCATATGGTATCTAGTTACTTCTTCACAAAATTTCTCCTCCTCATTGCCTTGGAAGCTTCTAAAAACAGAACTAGTACTGGTACCATCTGAATGGATACATCAAGTAGCTCCTTTTCATTTAGCAAACATTCATTATCCATCTGTATCTATGTATTTAAATTAGCAAGTACAACATTGCAACTCACAGCCCATGGACAAGGTGAGTTCTTATCAGGGTCTGTGTGTATAATCTTTGGTTTCTTGGCCATATCCAAGATAACATAGTTCAGTAAAACTCAAAATATACTTTTGGGTTCTATTTCTTCAATTTCAGGTGTGAATTAGCAAAGTATGTAGAAATGAATAAAACACAGACCGTGTCTTTTGAGATGTGACACCTAGGAGTAGACCGAAGAGCCATTGTCATGGTAAAGGTGAAGGCTTCGGATGGCTCACTTGGGTGCAAATGCCTTTCCACTTCTAGACGATTTATACAAATTATGTCAGATATCCAAGGCTCTCTTTCCTCGGTTTAAACTGGGCACAAAATACTTAGCTTGCCAGATTATTGTGTTAACTTGGGAATATATATGTAAAGGAATGAATAATAACACAGCAGCCAGCATTTTATAGGCATTCCATAAAATACAGAATAATAGCAAATGCTGTTCTCATGCTTATTATATGCTAAACATTTCTCTTTTTAAATGCAGTATTGGGGATTGAGACTAGGGTCACTGGACTGAGCTACCTCCCCAACCACTTCTACTTTGAGAGTGAGTCTTTCTAAGTTGCTAAGATGCCCAGGCTGGGCTCAAACTTGCTATCCAACTGCCTCGGCTTCCCAAAGTGCTTGTATTCCAGGTGTGTGGCACCGTGCCCAGCTAAATGTTCTTTTAAAATGACAATATTAACTCCTTTACCAAAGTGCACGTGTAAAACCGATAGGACATACAGTCTGGCAGCACGTAGTGCAGAGCAAGTGATGATTAATACTGATCGGTGCCCCTAGGTGGGCATTACACGGGAGTTGTCTTGAAGATTAAACCAAGATTTTCATAAAGTTTGAGGGAGTCCAGGTCTGAATGAGCAATGTGAGGAAAGTCATGGAGTAAAAGAAAGGGAGGGAGGAGGGGAGAATGGCAAGGCTGATGTGACTAGATGAATCAGTGTGTTAAACCACTAGGGATGAAGAATTTTCTGAAAGAGGAGGAAGACCATTCTGAAAGTCAAGGTAAAGAGTAATAAGCCTTAAATTCCAGGCTATAGGAACAAAATATACTCCATGTAGTCTTGGAGCTTCTTATAAGGTAATTCGAATGCTGACCAGGAGATAGATCCCCATATTGGAATATTGGAATATTCACGTGAATATTGGAAAATATTCACGTGTCCCTTTAATTTAGCATTTCATTTGCTGTTTAGTTGATACTAATAGATATTATGTTTCATCAGTGTGCTTTAAAAATGAGTGTTGGACCTGTGTATTCATCGAGATTTCCTTTGTTTAATGGGATGTTAATAAGGATTTGGGTTTTCTGGTGGCACCCACAGAACATGACATGGATCAGGACACACATTACCTGCCTTCGGTCTGGTTCTTACCAACGAGATTCATTTTATTTGTTTTTCAATTTTTAGACTTTCTATTAGTACATGTTTGCGGTTCATAATGATTACACTCATTGTGGGGAGTTGCTACATGTACAGTACATAACACATCTTAATTCTTTATTTTCTGCTCTTCCCACCTCTCTCCACACTCCTCCATCTCCTGGTCCCGTTTTCATTTGGAAAAGATCTATTTTACTTGTTTTGAGATGAAGGTTATTTTCTATTATCATCTAAACTCGTAAGACTCGGGGAGGCCTCACTGAAGATCTGTTTACGTTTTGCCTCAGTACTCAGCTGAAAGTGTGTCTATTTTGGTTTTAGCCCCCTACTGATCTTATCACTTTTAGTCAAACAGAAAATTACAACTGTGAATTCAGTTTATCATTTAATCAGTTTGTGATAAAAAGATTACAAGTATTATTTTTGTAACTGCACACCTTTTAATAATAATTCTTTGTAGATTATTGTATTGTGCTTTTGTGTACTGTAATTTTTTTAACCAGAAGGACTCAAATCCTTTCAGCCAATTTGCTCAAATCATTTAGGATGTAATCTCATTTTTTGTTATATCTCTGAATGATCTCATTTTTGCATTTATCCTGTCCTCTGTGTTTACTTTCTGTATTCCATTTTCTCCCAAACTAAACCTTCCTTTAAACACACTAAGCATGAATTACAATCAGTTCAACTTGGTAAATCTTCCTATCTTGTCTTACAAACAACGCTGAGTTTCATGTTTTCAATAAAAAATTGAACTGCAGCAATATCCACAAGGTCCCCTTTCTTTTTCTTTCATTTTTTGCAATAACCTTCTGAACTGATCTCTGTCTGTACATTATCTGAAACAAATGTGACCACTTAAAATGAGTCACAGCTCTCCATGGATGGAAAACGAGCCTTGTAGTAGTTCAGATCAAGGACATTTTTCTTTCTGTAAATGCCAATTTGCATCCCAGCTGAGCATTTTGACAACTACATCCTGTGGGCCTGTTAAACCTTCAAACTGTAGTATTCCCATCTAAACTTCAGGGCTGAGTGTCTGCTAGCGCTGCTGGGTAGACGGACTGACAGGACCCGCGGTCCAGCACAGGGACCTGCCCTCCACACAGCAGGTGGTAAACACATGGAACCTGAGGTGGCTAAAGACTGAGATTCTCTATGCAGCTTCCCTAACTCATCCCTCCCTCCTTCATCAGGCAGAACTTATTACCTTCTTATTTGTTTATTTATTCATGAAAAACTTTGATAATATCAGTTATTTTATTCTTCATAGTATGCAATTTTCAGTATTTTCTACATTTTCCAGTCAAGAATCAAGCAATATAAATTAAGTTTTAAGAGAAAAGAATCATTTTTCCTTATAAATTTAGATTATTTTTGTCTCATATATTTCTATACTTCATATATTTCTTCTAAATTAATACATTGCTTTTGTTATGGAAAAATCTATTAAAAGAATAAATTTAAAGGACGGGGATTTAGCTCAGTGGCACTGCGCCTGCCTCTCAAGGGCAAGGTCCTGAATTCAATCTTTGGTACCAAAAATAAATAA